CCAGAATTCCTCAGCCAGCATGGCTGGCTGGGGAATTCTGGGAGTTGAAGTCCACACATCTTCAAGTGGCCATGAGAGTTGAGAACACTGGATTAAGCTAACCAAATGACTCCAACCTTCAATTCCAAGGTTGAGAGTGACATCACCACTGCTTTATCTACTTATTTTTCAAGGATGAAGGAGGCAAATCCCTACTTCACAAAACCGGCACTATGATTTCTCTCCCAAGCGCAGCTGCAGGAGTTGCAGGAGGGGAAGGTACAGGCTCCCTCAGATGAAGAAAACTCTTCGGAGGCTTTCCCATCCATATGAAGCATTTGCAAGCCTTCCAGGAGATACCTGCTGACCTGGACTATCAACCCCATGGACCGCACTGAGCTCTACTTCTGGATCAAGCGATATGGAAAGTCGCCTTCATTTAACAGCCTGCTTGAGATCACTACAGCAGGCTCAATCACATCATTTCAGCCAAGGAGGAAGCAAACACTGGGGTCAACACAAACTATAGTAATCAATGCCCCAACACGACTTTGGCCAAAAGGAGAACTGGTCCTCCTGTTTCTGGGCCAAGTGTAGATGTGGTTTGTTGTTCTCTCTTCCACCAGTCCAGCCAAAGGCTGTAGAATTGACAGGTGCTCTTCCATCTAATTACTGAGTTAACCCTACTTAGCTTCCAAGTTCAAGCAAGGTCAACTTGGCAGCACCACCTGCCACGGCTGCAGGTCAACACGGACACCATCATTGCAAATTGGCAACCAATTCAGATCTTTCAGTAGAGGCATCATATGATCCCTGTATCTTGCACCAATGAGGGCCCCAGCTACCACATTTTGCACCAGATGCAACTTGGGGACACTTGTCAAGGGTAGCGTGTTGGCTCTTGGAAGTCTCCAGAGATATGAGATGGATGCTACTGTAACCTAAATGACCATCGTCGGTCACTCAGAGATATCCAAGGGTAGATGGGCATTGCCCTATCCCACGGCAATCGTTTGCCATTTTGTCTCTTGGCCTGCCACACTTCCACATAAAAATTAATCGAGCCTTTTCTTCCTGCTAGATCCCTGACAGCATTGAAATGGAGGTCCCTCACTTAAGGACCTTAGCTGCTATATCACTTTTCCACTCTTTGCCGGCAGCTATCGTACCACCAACCGTCTTGCTTCATTTTGTGTTTTTAATTTAGTGTTATATTTTGTAAGCTGCCCACTTACAACATGGAATGGGCATCTATATTAAATCTAGAGGAGGAGGAAGGAAGAAGGGGAGAAGGAGGAAGAGAAGGAAGAGAAGGAAGAGGAGGAGGAAGTTTCCCAGTGCTTAAATTTTGCAAGTTTTTTCTGGTGATGGGTCACCTACACCTGAAGCCTAACCTCACATCTCCTCCCTAAATGCAGCGTCACCATTAACTGTGCCAAAGTGAGCTGGGAATATTCAGGCAAAGAAAACACACGATTGCTAAGGCTTCCCATCAACGTGGCCTTGGCCGGGTTTTACAAGAGTAGGAATGTTGTAACCAGCTTTTATGATCGATTCTGTTTGCTAACTGATTACACGCATATAGAGAGAGAAAAAGAGAACTTATAAAAGACTTCAAAAACCCTCCGGAGGGGGAACTGACCGTAAACAGGGAGAGAAATTCAACCACATGCAATCAGAAACGTGTTATAGAATGATACAACTAGGATACATCCAGTATCACTCACACTAGTGTTTCTCAACTTTTTTTTCACCCATAGCCCCCCCAACCTTGTTTTAATTCTGTGCCCCCCTCCCCCCGTCCTGGATTAAAGACATGGGAGAGCAACTAGTGTGTTTTCTAGTGTCAACAAGACACTATTTGCAGTACTGCACACTTTGCTTTTCTGTGGCCCCCTCAGCATGTGCAATGGCCCCCATTACACATTTTTCACCTGTGGCCCTCTTGAAATATCCTTGGGCCCCACTGGATTTTTTTTTTTAAACTTTTTGTGGGATATATAAACATTGAATTATGTTGTATAGGTTTGATGATTAGAAATAATATGGGTTAATAGAAATAATGGAAGTTATGTAGTAAATTTAGAGCAAGACTTTGATGTATATTGTTACTTACATCTGTTGGGGGGTAGGTTGGAAGTCAATTCTTTTTGTGGTTATTGTTTTTTCTTTTCTGTAGTTTTGCTTTTTATTATTTTTCTTTTTAAATTTTTTTCTTTTTTCCCCGCTATTTTTTATTCTTAGTATTAGTCTTGGTTAGTTTTTATTGTTTTTTATTAATAAAGATAGAACAAAAAAAGAAAAAGAAATATCCTAGGGCCCCCAGTTGACAACCACTGACTTACCCAATATTTCATTTTAGCTGTTATTGAACCTCCTTTTCAATATGTTAATGTGTTTTATTACGTCTAATACTAATTTTAAAATATTCATAACCAAGTAGCATGGGGAAACGTAAGCTTGGGTTTTTCTAATAAGTCAACAAAGACTGCATTCTTCATCCTTAACAATCTGGGTGGCTGGTTATTGTTAATTAATATTAGTATTACCCCCTTTCCCTCTGGGGTGGAGGGGTTGAATTGAGCAAATTCTGGCAGTAGAGTCCAGCACTGGGAGATATTCCTCCCCATTCAAAATTCTCTTAATCAATAGGAAACTGGTAGCACCTTTTCAGACAATTATTAAAAGGCATAAGCACTCGTGAGCTGTAATTCACAAAAGCATATGCTTTTTTATAACTCTTGTTATTAAAAGGTGCTAGCAAACTTCTGATTTTTGGCTACCACAGGCCAACACAGCTCTCCTCCTGCAACATTTAATCTCCTAATGTGACTGTTTTGGCTAAGTGATTATTTATGGGAACATCTCTGGCATTTTGGAAGTCCAGCATCGAATTGCCCTGAGACCTATGTTCTCTGGAGTGGTAGACACACCTAATTTATTTTTAAACTGTTCTCTTAGGTAGTGTACCTTCCTCTCTCTTTTTTAGTTTAAAGATTTAGCCAATAGTTATCAATAGAATGGAATGCATTAGCTTATTACAAACAAATATTTCCTTATCTAGAGTTAAAACAGATGTCTTCTTATTTATAGTTAAAACAGATGTCTCCTTATCTAGAGTTAAAACAGATGTTTCCTTAAATGGGCATTTTATCTTTCCTATATATGTTTTTCTATACATAAGATATATGTTTTCCTTTACATAGGTTTTACTATGTGATGTGCTCCTTTATTTATAATGGCAGGAGCAAGCCTTTTCCTTTTATAAAACGGCATTACTACTGTCTCTACAATTTTTCATCAAGCCTTGATTTAAACCAATTGTAAACATATAAGGAAAATATTCCAACAATACATTCCTGGGGGAGATTAATGTTGGCAAAAACACACTCCCACATTCTGAGACCTTGGTGCATTATTTTCAATCATTCTTTTTAACAACTTTGCATCACTTCTCAGATGTCTCTTACCCAAGAAATGTGCCATGAATTTATGACCTTGACATCTTAGACTTTAGGGGTTCTCAGATCTGGTTTCACTAACATAGTACCAGAAGATCCTGGGCAAATAAATGTAAACTGCACGGATGGCTGCTGCTCCTTGCTATAGATGTCCTTCCATGTTTGATGTCATAACTCAAACCAAAGGAGATGATTCCTATTTTGTCTTCCACCCGCTTCTTTCAGGTGGAAAGAAGGCCTGTGCTTTGTGTAAAACCTGCAGAGCATTGCAGCTAAGACTCACCTAGGAGTGATTTTATAGAAATGTTACTTCTGACCATGTATTTGTTGTTCTTTTGCTTGACAGGTTCTCTGGGCAGATCTTAAAGTACTGGGTATTTGTGTTGTACATGGCTTATCTATATGTGAAAATCAAGACCCACAAACCCTAAAAAAAATAAACAAATAGCAAGTGAGCAAATATATAATTTTTGCCATCTATTGCCACCCCAACTGAAATTTGGGCACTAAAAACTCCATCAGCATCTTAAAGAGCTGGAAGACAGGACCTATTTCCATCTGAAAAGATTCTTCCTGGCTATTTTCCCCCAAAGTGCCAGTACTACCCTACTGAAGCCAGTGAACTCTACTCATAAGAAAATATGCACAAGACAGAAGATAGGCCCACGTCCTAGCTGCATTAAAAAGAAAAAGCAGAGCCAACCTGAACAACTGGGGTTCAAAGTGCCAGAACAAGCTACCTTGTTCCTGATTTCTTGACTCTTTATACAATTGTGTTTTTCGGAACAGCCCCGACCAATCAGGACCAAACAAACGTGAGCTTCTCGTCCAATCGTCGCTCACTAACTCACAGCAGTGGCATTTCCTACACTCCCCCCCCCCAGCACCTTTGTGTACCCAAGCACTATAGTTACTGCAAACATTGCTTCTGCGGCTTAACCCCTGCCTGC